CTTTCTGAGCTGAGTGGTGGTGAGGAGAGGGGAGACGTTAATTTCTGCTCCAATCAAACAGTTTATTATTTACCAACACTTAGAGGAACTTTTTCTTTACTTTTCATGCATTTTTAGACCTTTACTGCCAGGATTCAACCTTTTCCACTGTGGACATCCTTTAATTTTCAAACCTGCTAAGGGGAGCTGTTTGTTGTAACAACAACAGCAAAGTTAATTATTTATAATAATAATAAATAAATTCTTGAAGGACTGCATATCACCCGCTACCTTTCATGCCCTAGTTTCTCGCCAATATTACAATATTACAGTCGATCTCATGAAGTTTTGCTGGTCATCAAACTGACTTTGTGTTATGGATGACTCTCGGATGCTACCACACCAAATTGTAGTTTAGTATTGATAAGATTGACTGACTTATAGCCTAATTTGTGGTTTTCTAGGGTCATATTCAGTTGAATTGGATTAAAATAAAATTGGTTGCAGAAGTCCAGGGTTGCCACATAATGACAAAATATTTTATTATCACTTAAAATTAAGTTTTGATCCAAACTATTGTATATGCTGAGTGAGGGTACGCACTCCTGCATGATATATTTGGACTTTAAAAATAACTATCTTTTTTATATGTACCCTAAAACTATAATATAAATATGATAATAATTGTATATCTGGCAACATTCTATAAGTCTGACCAATGATTGCTTTCTGATGGTGGTTCATGAAATATTTTGCTAACAGACAGACAATTTTGACCCCAATAGTTAAAGCTGAACAGAACAGGCCTTGAGCAGCTAGTGCTCAGTGTATTATATTGAGAACCCTCAGCTACTACCACACCAAAGTTTAGCTCTATCTGTAAAACCTGCTGAATTAGAGCCTTTTTTTTTTTGTTATCCAAAGTCAGTCGGAGGCAGCAGCCATTGTTATTGGGGTTAACTCTAAAAAAATGTTTTATTTTTTATTTTTACTTACTTTTTGGAAGTTTAATTAAGCTCGTGACATATTTTGCTAACACTACAGTGAAACAAACACACAGACAAGGGAAAAAGCATTATCCTTCTGTGGCGGGCAATAGCAATTCAGTTTGTCATACCTTCAACGCAATAAAGACCTTTTATAGAAGCTCGGTTGTTCCAAAACTGATTAAACTTCAGTACAGCTCATTTATTGCTGTTTTTATTTTCCTTCATTAAAAGAAAATTACTCAGATATTATGCAGTCTGAGGCCGTTACATCTGTACATCACACAAATGTGTTAGCAGAAGAAGCTGCTTCTAATCAGCCTTCCTCCTCCTCTTCCTCCCCTCTGGGCTCCACTGCCTTCGTGCGTCCCGTCTCATCACCTCCACGTTAAAGTTTTATCTCTCTGCCCCTCGGTTCACACCCTGTCTACTTTATAAACATCCTATAATCCAATGGTTCCCAACCCTGGTCCTTGAGGGACACCATCCTGTATGTTTTACTTGTTTCCTGGTTCCATGATTTAATTTATCCCTGAAGTTCTGCAGAAGCCTGTTAATGACACATTTATTCAAATCGGCTGTGTCAAAGCAGGAAAACAAACAAACAAACAAAAAGCAGAACGGTGTTCCTCAAAGACCAGAGTTGGGAACCACTGCGTTTGCCTGTTTGCAAACACAAAGTATTTTTTTACATTTCCAGTTGATCAACACTAAAGTCTATATATTTATAGAGAGATTAAATTAAAGGGGAAGTGTTTTGTAGCAAAGTTTAAAATGATTCCAGTAACTTTACATGTATTTGTTACGTATAAGTTCATGCTAATATTTCCCCTTTCAAACTGTTTATTCATGTTCTGTAACAAACAGGAAGTTTCATTTGAATCTGTTTCTTACTGTAAGTGTCTATTGTTTAAAATAAACACTTACACTAAGGATTGTGGGTAAATGTATTGTGTTCAACAACGTACGGCTTCGGCCATTTTCATTTCTGCCTGTAGTTTAAGTGTTTATCTTGTCTTTATTTATTTATTTTCCCCAAACAGTTGGCATTGTTTTTATTTGTTTTTAAATGATAAAATGTTTTTTCTGCAAACTGTGACTGTTTCTCATCGTTCTGTCTTCTTGTCTTTTTCGCGTTTCCTTTGAGCAGAGGTGGGCAACATTTTTTTTTTCAAAGACGTTTAAAGCAATCAAAGGAACTGGAAAATAAATGTACTTAATGACAGATAAAGACCTTTTTCAAAACATATTCTGTAAACTGGCTCTTGTGACAATATATTATACACGTTCACTTAAGTTAACATTTTACTTGTTAGCGGAAATATACAAATCAAATTGGAAACACGACTTAAAAATGTTTTTTTTTTAAAGTTTTGCATAACATCTTTAATTTAAATTTCCTTAAGTCTCGTTGATAAATTCCTGGTTTTTTTAAATCAATCTTTTTATTATTATTTTTTTTTAATCTAAGGATATTGGGAGCCTGATTGTCCAAGGACCACTTTTGGCCCTCGGGCCTTAAGTTGCCCACGTTTGCCTTTGAGACTTGTTCTTGTAAAAAAAAAAGAAAAAAAAAAGTATTGAATTTATTTTGAATCTATTTAATTAAACTTCACGTTCTGTTTCTGATGGGGGGAAAAACAAACAAATTTGCTTTCAGCTTGTTAAAAATGGCCATAATTCAGTCAGTTTTACAGATGTTGATGTTAGGTAGTAGCTGAGAGTCACCCTCAACACGTACTCTGAGTGTTTCCAAGGTCAGTCCAAAATGGCTACCTCAGCAAAAGATTATCTTAATTTAAACTTCGGGCATTAAAGGCAGCAGGTGATATGCATTCTTCCAAGGAATACTAGACTCTTAACGTTATGTTGGGCCAAAAAAATAAAAAATAAAAGGTTGTGAGCAGACTGTTGGGGAAACATGAACAAGCGTGTAAGACAAGTTCAGACTGAATCCTCGAGGCAGCTTTCAGCTCGCGGCCTCCGAGGGGGATTGATCCCAGCATGGTGTCGAGACAGATCTGCAATAAATAATTAAAACAAACCGGAGTAAAACAGAAGCTCGGGGACCAGCATTACCATTTCCAGAGTGATATTCAAGGCGGTAACTTAGCAACAGCAACTTTATTTAGAGCCTTTAATGTCCTCGCTTGGGTCAAGCAGTGCCGGCTCGCCTCGGGGAGAACAGCGGATGTGAGATCTTTAATTGGTGCTGAGGATAAATTAAAATGCAGGAGGTGAAAATTAATCAGAAATCACGTCCATCTCAACTGTACCCATGTCTTTTGTTGCCATTTGTCTGAACCGCATCATGTTTTAAACGAATTCGTTCCTGATTTGAGTTTTAGTTTTTATTTACATCTTGCGAGGCGAAAATAAAAATGCAGGAGAAGCGTCTGCGTCCAGCGACAGTGCATCACTCTGTATCTCAAGAATTAAATGTCCGAACGTTCAGGAGTTGGGTGCTATAACTTTTTGATTTTTAAAAACTTTTATACACTTCAAAATATTTAACTTTATCACCAAATGTTTTCCCATAGAATGACACCGAGTTCCTTCACAAAGCTCGCTGTAAAACCTATTTTAGTGAACTTGCTAGATTTTGTTTTCCTACATTACTTTTAGCTACAAATCTACTAACGACTTTAGCTAAGCGTTTGCTACATTAGCTTTCTAGCCTTTTGCTACTTTAACTAGCATTGTGATACTTTCAGCTCTTTTGTTACTTTACCATAGCTTTATGGTAGCTATCCTTTTTTGCTAGCCTTTAGCTACTTTTTAGCAAAACTTTTGCAACTTTTAGAAAGCGTTTTGGTATTTTCTTTCTAGTCCTATGCTGCTTTTAGGTTTTTGATGCATTCATCTATTTAGGTGATTTTACCTTCTAACATTGTAATGGTTTAGCCAGTCCTTTAAAACTTTTTGCTAGCCTTTAGCTACTTTTAGCTTTGACCAAGCTGTTTTGCTCCATTTAGTTTTTATCTAGTATTTTGTTCTTTTAGTGTGAAAACATCTTTTGTTACTTTTAGCTTCCCTTTGGTTGGTTTTAGCTTCTAGCTAGATTTTTTATACGTTTTCCCCTTTTGTTAGTTTTAGACTTTAGTTAACTTTTAATAAAGTATATTGCTTTTACGGATTGCTTTGCTACTTTTAAATAGCATCCTGACATTTTACCTGTTTTTAGCCCTTATTTGTCTTTTAACTAGTGTTGCGTTTGGCTTTTTTTTTTTTAGCTGTTCTAGTGTTTTTACTTGGAGCTTTTAAAAATCTGTTTCCAGCAGACTCGTATCGGTCAGTCCTGAGGCGGTTTTCTGTACTCCGATGATGAGATTCTGGCTTTTCATTTTTGTTGGGAATGTTGTTGAGGTCATCGCTGACTTTTGCATTCAGAAATGATGAATTCAGGGTCAGCGCTGCAGCGAAAGAAGCCAAAGAATCAAACCGATTTATAAGCACGTTTAAAAAACAGCGGAGTGTTGGACAGGGAAAGCAGTTCTGCCCAAATCTGCCTTGTTAAATTTGAACCAATGACCTGAAGGAGCTGAAAGTTTTATGCTCAGAGGACAAATCACACTGAAGTGTCCCCCATCAGATCACACCACCATCTGTCATTCTCATTTATCTACAGAAAGGGCACCGTCAAAGCTCATTAAACAGTAAAAACAGATATTTCTCATGCAAATACAGGCATATACTTCTTTCAGCTAGTGTTTAGCTTTTAAAATTTAGTTTTGTTCCTTTTAGTTGGTGTTATATTTAAAGCTTTAACTTAGTTTCAGCTCCTTCAGTAAAATTTCAGCTGACATGTTCAGCATATTAGCAGAAATTAGTACTAGTTTTATTCAAAACAACACATTTACTTGCAAATATTACTTAAAAATATTTTGACGTGGGTATCTGCTCCTTACTGATGTGAATGTAAAAATCATCGTTTTTTTCTAAGCGAATTCACGGCAGCCAGCAAACAAAATGTTGATTATGATTAAAAAGTAAATAAAATCTAAGGTAACTTAGGACCAGAATATGAACAGGAAGAAAGCATCAAACTTTTTATTTGGATTTAGATTGTGAACGTGATCTGGAAATAAAAGAGGTCAAAAAGTCAAATAAGTCATTATTTTCTGGAAACGTCCAAAATGCTTTAACGATGGTCAGTCCTAATTCTGAGACGGACTCCGTGGTTGGATGAGGCCGATCGATGGGGGTCGGTTTGTGAACGGGTTCCACTGGCCCTGGATGCTGTTACTGTCGGTGTGGAAGGGCTTCCGGATGCGGATGACGTCCAAACCGGACTGATTGGCCAGCTTGGTCAGAACTTCCAAGATCTCCTGCGACGTTTTGTTGATGATGGGTTCCTCCCTGGTGTTACCATTCACTGCAAAAATCACTCAGTATGAGTAAAATGAAGGGTAGTAGTCTCAGAAAAAAAAACTTGTGCTGCCCCCTACAGGATATATGGAGTACTACAATATCACTTTTTATGTGGCAATAGAAAAGTGAACTTATCACTTAAAATATCTATAACAAAGCCAGTCTGTAGTTCTAGCACAGATTATTTTGTTTTAGATGTGATTAACTAGTCATAATTAAAAATAAAGCGCCTAATCAGGTAGCTACAGAGACATTAAAACCACGCTTATGCGAAAATAAATTCAGTACTTTTCAGGTGTCTAATCAAAACGCAACACTTGTCGGCACTCACGGTATTCTGCAACTATTTTGGGTGAGAGGCATTGCTGAGCAGACACGTACACAACGGTCCCGGGGTTCTTCTTCGCATAATCCATGACCCCCTCCTCGATAAAATCCCTGAAGGAGAAGAAGCTGGGCGTTAAAAGTCAGCACCACAAATGTGTGATTCTGCACCTTCTGTTTATATTCAGAATCAAAACGTCCATTCAGAAAATCCCTACATACACGCTCAAGGCAGAATTATATGTAGCTACAGTATGTTTTATTTAGACTCGGTAGGTCCAGCTTAGAATTAATTATGCTACAAATGTTACAGTAAATGTATATATATATATATATATATATAAAGTAAAACATGTGGCATCTCTCTAAAATTGTATTGAAGAGCTTAAAATAAAGGCTGTCAACTTATCCATCAAAAAAAGGGAAATTCTAAATCTGCATGAAACTGCATCTTTAATATTTAAAGGTTAGCTCGAGTTCAGTTTGAACTGGGGCACCAAAAGCTAATTTTTATAGCTAAGAGGGCAATTTTACTTCTTTCAAAGATTGTTAATTTTAATTACGAGTACAAATTGTAAACAGGCACCTTCAGGCTTCAATGAGTTGTTCTTAATGGGTGACATCCACTAAAAATAGGAAATTAAAGTATCAGAAGGTGATTTCCCAGTTCTAAAAAAAAAAAAAAAGCCTGTATATGACAGCAAAAATAAAACTTGTGAACTTCTGGCTATGGTCTATCCCTCTGATGAAAACTTTCTGTAAGCTCCTCTGAGTTTGAAGCACATTTATCTAAAATAAATAAATTATAACCACTCCAGCAGTAGCAACAACATGCAAAGGTTTCATTTAAAGTAGGCAGCGTCTGTTGGAGGCCATTGTTACTTTTTTACCCCTGCTGTAAACACGTTAATAACCAAGTAAAGACCATATTATCAGCAATAAAACATAATTTTCAACAAGCCGGATTAGTTTTTAAAAGATCTGGATATTCGCCTTTCACGCAAGAGCTTTTTATTCTAAGGCTCAACATGTGATACTCATTGTACACACACTGTTAACGCCTAATGTTCCAGTTTTCATCACCTGGCTCCCAGTGAGCTCGCTCTCTTCCTGGAGAAGATGATGGAGACTCGTTTCAGCTGACAAACGTATCGGCCGACTCCGTTTTGAAGAACACTTTTCAAGAAGCGACTCGGCGTCCCCCTGGAAGTCATCGTCCAACTCACAAATAACCTTTAACTGATAAAAACAATTAACTGCGGATCGTTTTTTACTAAATAAACCAGTTAAAGACATTTAATGGTGACTAAAATCTTGGAGGACGACTTCACGGGCATGAATACAAAAAAGGTCCGTTGGTAACAGAGTCCGGAAGGAAACAAACTCTTGCGATGTAGAAACATTTTTTTACTGTGGTCAGCTTGTGTATTTTAACGCTGAATTTGCATTTAAGAAATACATTTTTTTCTATATAAATATAAAATTCTGATATCGACTTATTAATATATTTTGGTATGTTATTGTTAACCGTGGAGGGACGGAAGTATGTTTCACACGGACTTGTTTTGAAGGTGCACCGGAAATCCAGGCTTGAATTACAGCGTGTTAGAAAATGAGGTCCGGCTATACACAAGGTAAAAACGAGATTATGAGTTTATTAATTCACTAAACATATTATATTCTTAACCGAAGGCTTTAATGCTTATTTAAAATTATTTTATTGAATAATTGTGTTCTTTTTACTCGGAAATAAGAATTTCCCGCCTCCCTGTGTGTTCCGACATGTCCTGACTCGTAGGATACTCAAAAGTTTATTTTGAAATTTTACCACCATGATACTAACTCGTACTGTTATTTGTAATTATTATTATTTTTTCAGGTGAAATATGCTAACTAGGCAGCCATTGTGGAGAAGCTTGCTGCTGAAGGGGACTACCTGTCTTCTGCAGGTGGGAGCCCCCAAATTTCTCCATCAAAGACATTTTTCATCCAAGAGTTTCAAACTTTTCGATCAAGGGGTCTTTCACAGGACCTTTAAGGCTCCATGGATTCAAAGACTTGGTTGTACAAGCTTCTTTCTCTCTCACAATGTGATCAGGAACTACAAGAAGAGCACCAAGTCCACTGTGGAGTTCCCTTCAAGTCCCATCACAGTCACAGACATCAAGCAGTATTTACGCTCCAAAGAGATTCCCTTTCACGATGGCTACAGCTGCCTCCACATCACGAGCATCTTCGTCGATTCTTCCACGGGGAAGAACAATTTTTCTTTGTTCATTGACAAAACCACGGGACAGTTTTTGTGTAAAGACACACTGGTCGAGGGGAGCTGGGAGGACCTCCAGGACTGTCTGGAGGTGATTCAGAAGGATGACCAAGACTTCCTCAGTCCTCATGTGCTGCTGGGGTATCCGGAGAGCGTAGAGGAGCAGGAGGAGAGGGAGAGGGACCTGAGGGAGGTGCAGGAAATCTGGTCCAGCTCTGTGTCCTTCGCCGACCTCCTTGAGGACGAAGCTCAACTGATTAAAACCATGTTCCAGGTATTAAATATGAATTTGTCTTGTGTTATGTAACTACTTTTGTCTTAATTCAACTGTTTGTTAATTTTCACGCAATGAAAAATATTTACTGTACCGAAACTTCAGGAAATAAATTCTACGTGCGTAAAAAGATAATAAGATGGTACAAATCCCAGTGAGAGAACAAGATGTATTAATGTTTATGGGAGATTTTTGATTTAAAAACATTTGCAAACTGATGCAAAAACATCACATGTGCAAAAGAACATGGTTAATGCTGTCATTTTAAACCCAAAGATAGTAATACTTTGAACCTTAGTACATAATCAAGAAAGGATTTTCCAGCTACAAAACATATATTTGTATATCTTTGAATATGTATGTGTTTTATTTATAAAGCACTTTAAAACAACACCGTTGGCCAAAGTGCTGTACACAAACACATACAGGTCCTTCTCAAAAAATTAGCATATTGTGATAAAGGTCATTATTTTCCATAATGTAATGATAAAAATGAAACTTTCATATATTTCAGATTCATTGCACACCTACTGAAATATTTCAGGTCTTTAATTGTTTTAATACTGATGATTATGGCATACAGCTCATGAAAACCCAAAATGCCTGTCCCAAAAAATGAGCATATCATGAAAAGTTTCTCTAAAGCAGCTATTAACCTAACCATCTGAATCAACGACGTAACTCTAAACACCTGCAAAAGATTCCTGAGGCTTTTAAAAACTCCCGGCCTTGTTCATTACTCAAAACCGCAATCATGGGTAAGACTGCCGACCTGACTGCTGTCCAGAAGGCCATCATTGACACCCTCAAGCAAGAGGGTAAGACACAGAAAGAAATTGCTGAACGAACAGGCTGTTCCCAGAGTGCTGTATCAAGGCACCTCAGTGGGAAGTCTGTGGGAAGGGAAAAGTGTGGCAGAAAACGCTGCACAACGAGAAGAGGTGACCGGACCCTGAGGAGGATTGTGGAGAAGGGCCGATTCCAGACCTTGGGGGACCTGCGGAAGCAGTGGACTGAGTCTGGAGTAGAAACATCCAGAGCCACCGTGCACAGGCGTGTGCAGGAAATGGGCTACAGGTGCCGCATTCCCCAGGTCAAGCCACTCTTGAACCAGAGACTGCGTCAGAAGCATCTCGCCTGGGACTGCCGCTGAGTGGTCCAAAGTTATGTTCTCTGATTACAGTAAATTTTGCATTTCCTTTGTAAATCAAGGTCCCAGAGTCTGGAGGAAGAGAGGAGACACAGAATTCACATTGCTTGAGGTCCAGTGTCAAGTTTCCACAGTCACTGGGGTGTCATGTCATCTGCTGGTGTTGGTCCACTGTGTTTTATCAAGCGCAGGGTCAATGCAGCTATCAGGAAATTTTGGAGCACTTCATGCTTCCATCTGCTGAAAAGCTTTATGGAGATGAAGATTTCATTTTTCAGCACGACCTGGCACCTGCTCACAGTGCCAAAACCACTGGTAAATGGTTTACTGACCATGGTATTACTGTGCTCAATTGGCCTGCCAACTCTCCTGACCTGAACCCCATAGAGAACCTGTGGGATATTGTGAAGAGAAAGTTGAGAGACGCAAGACCCAACACTCTGGATGAGCTTAAGGCCGCTATCGAAGCATCCTGGGCCTCCATAACACCTCAGCAGTGCCACAGGCTGATTGCCTCCATGCCACGCCGCATTGAAGCAGCCATTCATGCAAAAGGATTCCTGACCAAGTATTGAGTGCATAACTGAACATGATTATTTGAAGGTTGGCGTTTTTTGTTTTAAAAACACTTGTCTTTCATTGGTGGGATGAAATATGCTAATTTTTTGAGACAGGCATTTTGGGTTTTCATGAGCTGTATGCCATAATCATCAGTATTAAAACAATTAAAGACCTGAAATATTTCAGTTGGTGTGCAATGAATCTGAAATATATGAAAGTTTCATTTTTATCATTACATTATGGAAAATAATGACCTTTATCACAATATGCTAATTTTTTTAGAAGGACCTGTACAAGCATAAAAACTATCAACTCTACAGATACCATAAAAGTAATGAACCAAATCATAAAAGAGCAAACAGCAAAAACTATAAAACAAATAACTTAAAAACGGTAAAACCAACATTTCAAGTTGCGTTAAAAGCCAAAGAAGAGGAAAAAAAAAAAAAAAAGAGTCTTCAGAGAAGATTTAAAAACAGGAAGTGAGTCAGCTTGTCTGACGTGCAGAGTCGTTCCACAGTTTAGGGGCAGCGACTGAGAACGCTCGCTCACCTCTCAGCCTCCTGGTGGACTTTGGGACGGCCAACAGCAGCTGATCAGCTGACCTGAGGGAACGTACGGCTGGAACAGGTCGGACAGATACTGTGGGGCGACACCATGAAGACATTTGAATACAAACAAAAGAACCTTAAAATTAATCCAGAAACGAACTGGGAGTGGTTATGTTATGTGATTATTGTAGTGATAATGAGTAGCTAAATATCACGGCAGCTTCAAGATAAAACTTTAACGCATATATAAATTGTTTTAACGAGTTAAATGAGTGTCAGTTGTTTTAGTTTTGGGTGCACAATACCTCTGCACCTTCATTGATGGGAGTCCAGAAATGTCCTACATAAAATGCAAGTTTCTTTTTTCCTCTGTTTCAGATGACAAAGATCTCTAATGCAACCCTTAAAAAGTTTGGCGTGAGACTTTTCAAGCCAACCAAGAGTCTGGTTTTCCCCTGGTTTGGTGGTCCTCACTCCTCCCTAAAAGGAATCAAACTCCTCTCCGCCCAAACGACGGACACAGACGAGGTCGCTTATAATGAAGTCACCATCCCGAGGTGTAGCTCCTACCTTAGCTTGTTTGGACTTCCCCTCGTGAACTTGTTGGACCCGGAGGTGGTGTTGACCAGTCGTGAGTTGGACACTCTGGCCGTGAGCCAGGCCACGGGCCTCCCCAGTGTGACTCTTCCTCGCGGGGTCAGCTGCCTCCCACCGCTGCTGCTGCCCTACCTGGAGCAGTTCAAGCGAGTCACACTGTGGCTGGGGGGTGACATTCGCTCCTGGGAGGCGTCAAAGATCTTTTCACGCAAACTGAGTCTGAGGAGGTGTGCGCTGGTGCGGCCCGGGGAGTTGCAGCCGTGTCCGCTGGAGGCACTGTCCCAAGGCAAAAACTTGACGCGCATCGTGAGATCCTCCATCCCAGCAGCCCATAAGTCCATCGTCTCCTTCAAGCAGCTCAGAGAGGACGTGTACGGCGAGCTGGTGAACACAGACCAGGTGGCTGGGGTGAAGTGGGCCAGGTTTCCAGAACTCAACAGGCTCCTGAAGGGACACAGAAAGGGAGAGCTCACAGTTTTCACAGGTACTGATTATTTAATACTACTAATTTTTTTTTTTTTTGTCCCAGATAAAAGCAGCAAGAGGTTTTATTGCATTCATGACTGGAATTTAAAAACGAAACACTTAAAAACAAGATCCAGAAATTGATTGTTCCTGTTTTATCTTAAGAGCCGAGTTTTAGCTGCTCCAAGGCTACACAGTAAGATGATCTGTTTATTATTGTCCTTTCCATGTGTGCGTTTCTTTTCCAGGTCCGACAGGAAGTGGGAAGACCACGTTCATCAGTGAGTTGGCTTTAGATCTTTGCATTCAGGGCGTCAACACGTTATGGGGCAGCTTTGAAATCAACAACGTCCGTCTGGCGAAGATCATGCTGACGCAGTTCGCCATGCAGCGGCTGGAGGAGAGGCTGGAGCAGTACGACTTCTGGGCGGACAAATTCGAGGAGCTGCCGCTCTACTTCATGACTTTTCACGGGCAGCAGAGCATCAAGTGAGCTTCATCTGTTCTTCTGGGTTTTACAAACCTTATCTCCTTTTTGGCCATTTTTCTTCTTTTTAAGTTTTTATCAGAATCAGTTTATTATCGCCATGTCAATGAACGAGGTTCACAAACTAGGAATTTGCTTCGACATAAGATGCGAATAGTAATAAAGTAAAATAAAGTAAAAATTAAGTAAAAATGTGAACATTACATAAGACATAAGACCTGTGTACACCCACAAATAAAGTAAAATTAAAAACATAACATTACCCTTATTTTATTTATGGTTATGCAATTTATTTACTATGATAAAGCATCTGACTACCGCTACATTTAGGTAGCCTTTATCTTAGTTTAGCTTTTAGCTTATCTTCTACATTTAAATTCTATTTACTGTTTTATAACTTTAATTTAGCATTAGGATTTGTTTAGCATTTAGCGTTTTTAGCTGCTGTTTTGCTACTTTTAGCTAGCCATTTGTTATTTTTAGCAACCCTTTGGCTAGTTTAGCATTTAGAAATATTTTTTTTGTTAGCTAGCCTTTTGCTACTCTTAGCTTACCTTTTGGTACATATAATTTTTAGTTGCTGTTTTGCTACTGTTACCTAACATTTAGCTTTTAGTTAGCATTTTACTAACATTTTGCTTATTTTTAAATATAGTTACCAGTTGTTAATTTTTGGGGGCTACTTTAGCTTTAAGGTAGCTTTTGTTAGCTTTTTGTCAGCCAGTCTTTTGTTACTTCTAGTTAGTGTTTTGCTCGTTTTAGCTTTATTTTTGCTTCTTTAAGCTTTAGCCACTCAGCTTCAGTGCTCACTTTGTGTTTAGTCTGGTTCTGACCCTGCTTTATTTTCAGGACGGTTCTGGACACCATGCAGCACGCTGTCTACCTCTACGACATCAACCACGTGGTCATTGATAACCTGCAGTTCATGATGGGACAAGAACACCTCTCAGTAGACAAGTGAGTAAAAGTTACACCGCCATTTTGTGTTGGCTAAGTCAATTAGCTGTGGTGGCCATCTTGAACTGGGTCAACGCTAAAAGTTAAATCAGTTGTAGATGTTCAGCCAGTGATGATGACCTTTTTGTAGTTTAATTTGAAGGTTTCATCATTCAATGAAAATCATTTATTCATGCAACCTAGGTTTGCAGTCCAGGATCACATTATCGGCGTGTTCAGGAAGTTCGCCACCAACAGCTGCTGCCACGTCACTCTGATCATTCACCCGAGGAAAGAGGAGGACGACCGAGAACTACAAACTGCCTCCATCTTTGGTTCTGCGAAGGTACAATGGGAACGTTTAACTTTTGTCTTTTCTAAAACGAGCAAATGCAGATTCATTGTCACACTTCTGCATCCTTTGTGTTATTTTAGCCATTTATGAATCAGATCTTTCAGCTTGTTCACAAGATGGGCGCTGTGACTTTTAGCTTTTGTAGTTTTTATACTTTTTCAAAATATTTAACGTCATTTAAATGTTATCCATAGAAATTAATTGAGATTTCTTTAATTGCTTCAGAAACATTGTTTTCTTTGAAATCTGCTTCAGCACACTCTTACCTTTTAACGACTTAGGCTTTAGCTACATTTAGCTATTTGCTAGCCTTTTAATATTTTTAGCTTTTTGCTATTTTAACTTTTAAATAGCTTTTTAGTTGCAATCAGTTTTTAGCTAATATTTTTGCTGCTTTTAGTTAGGATTTTGCTACTTAAGCTTTTAGATAGTATTTTGCTGCTTTTGGCTTTTAACTGACCTTTTGCTTCTTTTAGCTTTTGTTCTGCTTTTTCGTTTTTTGCTTTAATAACTATTTCAGCTTCTTCTGAAAATTCTGTCAAAGTCCGAGCTCAGCATTCGCTCCAGTTTCAAGTTGTTGACTGATTTTTGATGAACATATTTATTTTACGACTCACAAATAATAACTAGAGAAGTTGCTTTTCCTGAGAAAATGCAGTGTGAATGCTTATTCTAGAAGAACTTGCTGAAAACAGCTGAAATTAGCTAAAAAGACATGCTGAAACATAGCTGAAATGGAAGAACAAGTGTAAATCAGCAGGAGAAAGTAGAAAGAACATAAAAGTTTAAATGAGTGCAAAAAATATGGAATTAGCTGAAAAAGCTAATATTAGCATAAAAACAGCTAAATAGTAGCTGAAATAACTGAAACTAGCAGAAATAAGCTGAAAACAGCAAAACAAGTTGAAATAAGCTGAAATAATTTAATTAGGCTGAAAGTAACAGAAATTATTGTGAAAAACTTTAATTAATCTGAAAACAGCTGAAATTAGCTAAAATATGCTAAAAACTTAGCTGAAAAAGTAGAACAAGCTTAAATTAGCAGAAGAAAGTAGACAGAACGTTTGCCCATTTAAGCTGAAAGAAGCAGAAATGAGCGCAAAAAAGTGGAAATTATCTGAAAAAAGCTCAAATGAACAAAATAGAGCGGAAAGTAGCTAAAAAAAAGTAGAAAGAAGCTTAAATTACAAGAAGGAAGTGGAGAGAGCACATTTTTCTGAATTAGACTGAAAAAAGTTGAAATGAGTGCAACAAAAGTGGAATTAGCATAAAAAGCTAAACTTAGCATAAAACAGCTAAATAGTAGCTGAAACGTGCTGAAATAAGCTGAAAGGAGCATAACAAACTGAAATTAGCAGAAAGAAGTTAGAAGAAGCACACAAATGTTGTAATTAGCAGAAAGATCCTGAAAGGAGTACAAAACAGCTGAAATTAACTGAAAGTAGCTGAAAAAAGTTTTAATTTCCACAAGGAAGCTGAACCAGAACAAAAAGTGAATGGAGCAGTAAAAGGTTGTTAACAGATCTAAAGATTTGAAGGATGTAAAATGAACTCAATTCATTTTCTATGAGGAAAAAAGTGGCAAAAAAGGCTAAATATTTCAAAAAGCCAAAGTTGCACCAATACCAAAAGTCACAGCACCCTTCTCCTGAAAGAGCTGAACGTTTTGGATTTGCTGAAATGGCACAAAAACTGTGGAACGAGAAAGATGCTGAAAAATGTACGGAAGAAAAATGGATCACAATTGAGTGAATGCTTCATGAACATTCACACGATAAAGTCTGTGATGCGTGTAGCGCACACTCGCTTCTTGACCTTTGACCCCCTTTTCCAGGCCAGCCAAGAGGCCGACAACGTCCTGATCCTGCAGGAGAAGAAGCTGGTGACGTGTCCCGGCCGCAGGTCCCTGCAGGTCACCAAAAATCGCTTCGATGGAGACGTGGGCATCTTCCCTCTGGACTTCATTAAGTCTTCTCTGACGTTCTCGACTCCCCTCAAAGGCAAACACAAGCTGAGGAAGGTCCTCGTTAAGGCAGAGGCCGAGGAGGGGGTCACGGGGGACGTTGTAAGGAAGGACGTAGGTAAAAAACAGAAGGCAGAGAAAACAGCTAAAACAGCAAAGACGCCGCAGAGCGTTAAAAGTCCTGCCAAAGAAAATGAAACCATTCCTTAGTGATTAGAAAAAGCTGACTCTAGCCTCCACATTCAACAACTTAAACCATTTAGAGACATAATTTCTGTCTGAAAGTTAAGCCGAGCATAAATTTATAAAGCTACGTTTGAAATGTATGAAGAAACTTCTGATTGTAGATCAAAATTAAACCCTCCACAAACTAGACGTGTAGAGTTGTTTCATCATGAACTGAAGTCAAGACGTTTAAACTAAGATGCAACATAATCCTGTCTTCATCTTTTATACTGTTTATATAAAAACGTTTATGTATATTTAGCATTTTCTGGCGTTTGATGTTTTCCTTCCATTTCAAACAACACTGTGAAACCAGGACACTATCACCGTCTGCTTGTTGTGATGCAAGTATTACCACCTGTTTGTTATTTTTAAAGTATCATGATTTATCGAATGAGCTACTTTTTGTCTAATAAATCATTCAATGCAGATTTAGTTGTGTTTTCTTTAGAGGTCAATAGGGGGCAGTATGGGTTCACAAATACTACATATGTTTAATATCCTGTTATATGACAAGTTGTTATGTTAAGCTACCAATCAGGATGAGCTTGAAAGCCTTTGCTTTATTATTTCGGCTGATAAAACAGACAATAAAACGGGTCTACAGTTTAAATAGCAACTTATTTGTGTATTAAGTCAATATTTTTGTTATTGGGTGCCATTTTTGCCCATTAATTTGCAGCTTTTGCACTAGTTGTACACTTGGTTGCACTAGTATAACATTTTGGTGCAATAAGTCATCATTCACTCTTAAAGTGTGCAAGTGAAGCAATGAACCAGTATTGAACCACCTCATCAATTGTATTGAAACTATCCTGATGCATGCTCAATAATCCAGGTAGAAAAATCTAATAATGTTAAGTCAGGTCCTCTGGATGGATTCTTCTTGGTGAAACATTTAATCTTTTATCCAAAAGACTCTCAGTCTGAGGAGCTGCAATAAACTCAGTCTCACACAACTTTATTTACGTTAAACTTTGATTTTAATTTGTTTTCTCATCGAGAGATAAAAATTCTGCTTTAACTGTTCGGCTCGTTCAGCACATTACAGCTCTCACTGTGGGTTTTTGTAGCTTTAATGCTTGTTAAATTTTATTCACATTTGATTTCTTATCGAGAACTCTTCAAATGACTGAAAGGTTTTGTGCTGTTTGAAATCTACTTGCTTCATGATGGACTTTTAGCTGTTGCTTTGCTTGTTTTAGCATTTGCGCTTCTGCTAGTATTAGCTTGTAGTGAATGTTTTGCTAATTTTAGCTTTTACTTATGTTTTCTTGAACGTACCCTTCTGCCTTTTCTATTAATTTATTTTATTACTGTTTTGGTAAATTAAACTTTTAGCTATTTCTCTGCTATTTTCAGAGATTCTTTATTGTCCTTCGCACCGGTGGAACGAAATTATGTACACAAGGTCCCAGTTACATCCAACAATAAAATGTAAAAAAAAAAAAAAAAAATGAGATCTAAGATATGAACTAAGAAAAATGTCAGCTAAAAATACACTAAGCACTAATAGCATAAAAACAATAAACACAATTTGCTGAACAGCAGCACGAACATGAGTCTGTGTGAGCAGATGAGCACGAATGAACACAGCAACATGAAACAGATCAGCAGCAACATGAAACAGATCAGCAGCAACATGAAACAGATCAGCAGCAACATGATGTGATTTTTCACAGTGATTATTCTGGTTAGAGATTCATGAGTCTAACAGCCTCAGGGTAGAAGCTGTTCCTCAGTCTAGTGGTTCTACACTTAATGCTCCTCAACCTCCTTCCTGAGGGGAGCGGGGCAAAAAGTGTGTGTGCTGGGTGAGTGGGGTCCTTCGTGATGCAGGTGGCCCTCTTCCTGCACCTGGAGGTGTAGATGTCTGATGATGGGGAGACTGACTCCAACATCTTCTGTGCAGCCTTCACCACTCTCTGCAGAGCTTTTCTTTCTGCAGCTGTGCAGCCTCCATGCCACACGTTGATGCTGGAGCACAGCATGCTCTCCACTGCACACCTGTAGAAGGAGGTGAGGACTGAGCTTCCCAGACCAGCTCGCCTCAGCCGTCTGAGGAAGTAGAGTCTCTGATGAGCTTTCTTGATCAGGCTGGTGGTGTTGCTGCTCCAGCTGAGGTTGTCATTCATGTGTACACCCAAGTACTTGTAGCTGGAGACCACTTCCACTGCAGATCCTCTTCAGGGAGGGGTAGGTGTGTTTGTTCCTTCTGAGGTCCACAACCATCTCCTTCATCTTCTTCACATTGATGTGAAGGTTATTCTCTTTGCACCAGCTCTCCAGGTGTTCCACCTCCTGCCTGTAGCTGAACTCATCATTGTTTGTGATGCATCCCACCACCGCTGTATCATCTGCAAACTTTACAATGTGACAGCCTGGATGGGTAGCTGCGCAATCATGCGTGAGCAGAGTAAACAGGAGGGGGCTCAATACACAGCCCTGAGGAGTATAATAGAAGAGAAGTTGTGGGTCCTCACAGACTGCGGTCTGTTTGTTAAAAAGTCTAGGACTCAGTTGCAAATGGAGGGGCTTAGTCCTAGTGTGAGTAGTTTGTCCATCAGGGTTTGGGGGATCATGGTGTTGAAGACAGTCGTGAAGTCCACAAAGAGCATACGGACGTAAGAGTCCTGCTCCAGGTGGTGAGAGCAGTGTGGACCACAGAGGAGATGGCTTCTGTTAATCTAATTTAGCTTTTATTATTGTTTTGGTAAATTTAGCATTTATCCTAGTTAATGTTCTGCACATTTTTGCTTTTACTACTGTTTTGGCCATTTTAACTTTAAGCTACTCTTCTGTGTTATATTTTAGCCCCTGTTCGTCCAATTTTAGATTTTTGGGCTGTTTTTGTACATTTAGCTTTAAGCAATTTTGCAAAATTTCGGTTTTAGCTACGATTTTTTTTTATTTTTATTTTTTTATTTTAAGTAACATTTCAGTTTCAGCTTTTTTAAACAAATTTCAGCAGAGTAGAAGAGATGCAGAAAGTAGAATTGATTTATTTTAATCATTAGTTTTATTTTAAATGTGCTTGATGTTGAAAAGCATGAAAAAGTTTCATTTTATTGTGTTTTTGTTGTACATGAGATGCCTTCAGCATAACTGAAACAACCTTCTACAAGAAGTCACATTTCTTTATTATTTCATCAAAATATGTAACAATTTTTAAACATTATGGACACGTGAGCCGTTTGTTGAGGGCTCCAATCAAACCAACATATTTTATACAAAAACTCAAAGCAACAAAAAATTAAAACATGATGAAGATGTCATGTTTAAATTGTGGAAATATTTCAACAGAGTAGCTAAAAAAAAAAGCAATTTTAAACAATTTAGCACAAATAAAACTGCCCAGTTCTCAGAGAACTAGATGCAGAAACATAGAAATAACCTTCTCATCCTGAGCGGGTTAATGAAGACTCAAAATGTTTCGTCTCCCGGTCACGTCCTCTGGTTGTGAACGCGTCGTCGGGGGTCAAAGGTCAGAATCATGGTGTTATTCCCACGGCGCCTCGGCTCCTTCAGGCTGAGCGTACGCAGAAAGCTCCTCGTACAGCTCTCCTCCACACGTCTCAATCGCCAAACCCTGAGCGATAAGAACAAGTTCTTATGCAACACTTTTTATTTGCACGTGTGACTCTGACACGTCTCAAACATAAAAGCCTGTGTAGCTGTTAAACTCCGCAGCAGAACGATTGCGTTAACAGCTAAAGGATGCAACATATTTGCATAAACAGTCAACTTTTCTGAACTTCAACGGCCTCTGATCACCACGACTCGTCACCGTCTCGCTTTCTGCTTCTCTGCCTCCATGGACCCTGAATGTTTTTCAAGTTTTATTGTTCTTTTTTGGGGGTTGATTTACCTGAATGAGCAGCTTGGGAGCATTAATCTCTGAATTTCAACATTTTAATCTCACTGACAGCCTCACAGAGAAGATTAGAATGTTTTAGACCCAAAGAGAACAAATCTAGCGCATAAATCGCACATTTCCAAATATTAAATTTGTATTTAATATGGATTTTTGACAATTACTGCAAAGTTTTCCTCTGAACAGTTTGAAAAAAGTAGATTTTAATAATCTTCATGGGGACAACCCACCAATATATTCTTCTTTTTTCCTCTTTTTTTGACCCAATATGAGCTTTTATGTTGTAGTTTTTTTTTTCCTCTGTATCTTATTTCTTGGTACACATACCAATAGTTATTTTATGATTACAACTGTATAAAATGCTAACAAATTGCATTGTTAAAATAACATAATTTATACAAAAAGGTCAATAGAAGAAAACAAATCTGACAGTAATTTATTATAATCTATTGTGTTCATAAAATAACAAATGTAGAAGCAGATCTAAGAAGAAATAAAGATAAAAGTTGTGGTTGGGAGCTCAGTGGTGCAGGCAGACTGTGAGTCTTGACTGACAATCGTGCACTATTTCTGGACAAAGCTGCGATGCACCGTGACGTACGGTAACTCCATAACTGAGGCCGACAGAAAACCACGATGAAAACAAGCGAATCAACGTGTCTTAAATAGAAAAGAGAACCAAACAAACCTCATAAATGTGGTCGTTTTCAGGCTCTTCGTAGAGGCTGTCTCTTCTTTTTGAATGCTGCCGAAAAAAGAGCAATGGGGAAATTAAAAAAGGGTGTGCACACATTTGATAAACTCTGTTACATCTGCACAGAAACAAGTAAATATTTTACTCAGCAAAATATGTGGCCTTCTGGCTGTTGGACTGTTTGGAAACGTGACATTAAAAAACACAGGAAAAGTAAAAGCATCTGCAAAACAGAAATGCGCCAGGAAATAGACAGATCCCTCAGTAAAAACCCTGAAATGCTTGAGTAATGTTTATCACCTTAAAGGAAGGATGATGTTTTTGTCCATGTGCATGTGCAGGTTTATCTGTCAGTACTGTTAGTAAAATATCTCACAAACCAGTGGACAGGTTTTAATGACAGAAAGGAATCAATGGTCGTACATCAACACAATTCAAGATGGCCGCCACAGCTAATATACCTTTGCCAACACAAAATCATATTTCAGAACGCACTGCACAGGTGTGGCTGTGGCGGCCATCTTGAATTAAACCTCTCATTTTGTTTGTTTCATCATCTGGCTTTGAATAAACTGAAATAAAATTTAAAAAAAGGCTTTCATCACTTTTTTTTTTGGGGGGGGGGAATAAATTAATGCATCAGAAATACTAAAACAAACTGTTCACTGAGTGCTGGAGGACTTGCGTTTTCTTTAGACGTACAAGCATATTTAAAAATCCTAAATGAGCTGAGAGTTGATTTAACCAGTATAGTTTAACCAGTTGTGAGTTGGGCCACATCTGTTTTAATCTCAGATATTTGGTTGTTGTTTTTCCTCACCAGTTGTTGTTTGCGCAGCAGGATGGCAGCAACACAGGTAGCCAGCACCAGACCCTGCAGGACCATCAGGCCGTCCTTCATCTGAGACCTGTACTGGGCCTGAAACGGGTCAACGTTCCCTGCAGAGAGCAAAACGTTCTGTAACGCTCAACGATACAGAGGTGCTTACTCACCCCTTCACTGTGTATTTATACACTTACTCACCCCTTCGCTGTGTATTTGTACACTTACTCACCCCTTCGCTGTGTATTTATACACTTACTCACCCC